TTTTTATTTTTGCATGTTATCACTGTGCCCGTTTTTTGCTTTTATTCTTTGTTCCGCAAAGTGCGTTCTTTTAGTTTGTAGTGATGTGACAATATATAGCCACTGCGCAAGTGAGTGAAAAAAAAAGTAAAAAAAAAGAGAGACAACTGCGCCTGTGACCGCTGCACAGTTCGGAATTTGGAGAAATAACAGTCCACTGCAAGCTTGGGTGAAGACCAGTTCAAAACTGCAAGAAAAACAGTAAACTGCGCGTTTGAAGGTTCGAACTGGTCTTCGCCCAAGCTTGCAGTGGACTGTTATTCCTACGAATTTGAAACTGTGCTCCAGTCACCCGCGCAGTTGTTTCGAAAAAAAAACGAAAAAAACAGCGTCGGCGGGGGCGGTTCTGGAACTTCTCTCTGCCATCTTGAGCCAATTTTCGTAACCGCTCTGTTGGGGCCTGACTTTAATTTCTGAAGAAGTATTACATTTAGCTTTTTCAGCTCCGTTTTTCCTGTGCCGTCCTCCCATTTCCAGCCCCAGATCGCTTGCTCAGAGGGGTCCCATTGCGGATCACGAGAGGGATCATTGGAAAGCCTTCCTCTTCCGAACGCTGCAATCTTACTCTCACCTCCACAAAGCCGTTTAGGCCATAGTGCAGTTGCATTCCCGCCCGCTCCAGTCTGGGCTGGGTCGGAGTCTCCTGTTTATACGTCTCCATCCAACGTTTACCCAACCCATCTTCTGTCCAACTTCTCAGTCTGAAGTATCCGCCGTCTTCTCTCTTGTATCATGAGCCTGGACTGTCGACTCCTACTGGGCCCAAAAGGTCCTTCCAGTCCGGTGGTATAGTCCTTCTCAAAAGTGCTGCTCTCTCTTCTTGCTCCGGAAGTTGTCCCTGGAGCAACTTCATCAGCTGTTTGCAGATTTTCCTCGGGCGATGAGCTCTTCTTGCCTTGGTTTCTCCTTCCTTTGTTTCTTTCTTCCTGTGTGGATTTTGGTGAGCTTATAATATGCAATTTATCTATCTTAGTGATTGAGAAGTTTACTGTCATTATTGATTGCCTCCTTCTCGGACTTCGTCCATCAACGGTTCTTCTCTCTTTGTTTTCTTTTTCATCTGGCAATTTGTTCCTTTCTAACTAGTATTGAGTAAGTGCACAAATGAAAAAGACGGGAAAAATGGTCTGCGTTTTCTCCCTGCTGACTATTTGTTTACTATACGCTTCATCGACTTTTTTTTGTTCTTCCACAATTGTGTAAAAGAGAATTATGGGGGGGGGGGGGGKTTYWTSGGTAATTGTCTATTTTGTATGTTTGTTGGCCACGGGGGAAACTACCGTTCTTTTTTTATATATGGCATCTGGAACAAATTGGTCCTCGGTTGACGTCTGCTTCTCTCGTTTCTCTCGTTGTCGTGTTTATTGTAGACAATATTACACTCAGCAGTTTCCATTGTTCTGTCCATACACGATGCCCTATGTACGTATTCTACACAGGACAACAGAGGCGTTGGAAAATTATATCGTTGGGTACCCCCCCAACGTCCATCAAAACATCATAGAGCGTGTCTATGTTGTTGATCCTCTCGTCTGCACTTTGGAAAACTCTATTATCATCGATCTCTATCTCGTGGATGAAGATTTGCCTTTCATGGTGTCTGATTTCCATCGCTTCTTCACTGAGCGCTGCCCGTTTTCTGATCGTCTTACACCGTTTGTTCGGAGAGCAGTCATTCATGATTACCCTCGTCACCGTGGAGCTCCCTAGCCGGGTGATCATGTGACCTTTTTCCAGACCAGAAACCACAGATTATCTGGCGTCCCCCTGCAATCTTGTTTTGACGTGGACTATCGGCATATGCTCACACGTCGTGTCCATACACACCGTTCAAGGGAGACCATGGTTGTCCGGCGCAACAGCTCACGCTGAGAATGTAAGATGAGTTCCTCATTTCTATACGGTATGGTGTCCTTGCTCTCTTTGGTGCTATTTCTAATTCCTCGTCTGCATGTATACATCTGCCGACGTTTTTTGTTCATGGGCAGCCAATGACTCGGTTGGTATGATGACAACTATTAATCGGTGAAATTCAGTAAAGACGAATTGGCTTGTACTGTCCTCCTTTAATTTGGTGCTGTTCAGATCCTGATACTCAACTGAGTTATGTTCGTTGGTTGAAAGTCGCCCTCCTGAGCACAGTGCTCTCTGAGGACGTATGTGTACATATAGTTGCTATAGCGGAGAGCTGCCCATTATAACTGCAAGTGATATCCCGGCTCACATTACCGACTGCATGTTTCATGCGCTGTCGAACTTCCTTGTGGTAGTGCTTGCAATTTTGCGATGGGAATGTTTGTTGATATATGTGTCCAGTCAGTGGCGATATTAATCACCGTTATTGCATATTTGTTGGCCTGGTCCGTGTCATGCTGCCATTATAGCGTGGTGATACAAGAGCGGGCGCTTTGGGGTCTAAACGCTTGACGGTGCTGCAATCAACAATGTGTGAGTATCATTATGTTTAAAGTGGGTTCCGGTTCTTGCAAACCTGTTGTACCTGTGTTCCAGATAAAAACATGTAAACACACACACCGGCGCACAGGTGTGACAGGAAACCGACTATCTGAGACCGGCAGACTAGTTAACGGATGTGCCGACAAAGGGAAAAGACAGTTGTGTGTAAGCGATAATGCATAAATGAATCAGAGAGTGTATGCTTCTACACATGCGCGAACACACACACGCACATACACATATACTAATAGAGACGCACACACACACACACAGGAAAAAAAGGAAAGAAAGAGAAAGAGAGAGAGAGAGAGAGAGAGAGAGAGAGAGAGAGAGAGAGAGAGAGAGAGAGAGAGAGAGAGAGAGAGA